TCTGCACCACCATCACCCCTGTCTCCTAGGATCAAAACTCAAAAGTAATTACTGAGGCACCAGTTTCCCTTCTCTTTCATATCTAATCATTTGTTAATTTCCTCCAATTCATTCCCTACTCCTCATGCCCTAGTGTTATTTCTTGCCTGGACTCTAAAATGGTCTCCCGCTTCTAGTGTCTCCCCACACAGGAGGGCCATATTCACCTCTGCTCAATGACATCTGAGTAACAGTTATTTACTGTGTACAGGAACTAAGCCCAGGCTCTTCAGCCTGGCCTCAATGCGCCCCACCCTTTGTTCCCATGACCTCCCTGCACATAACCTTTGCTTGCAAAATGATTACTATTTCTCCGACATGCTCTGGGATTTCCTGGCTCTGTGCCTGTGTTTCTGTACTCCTTCAGTCAGTGATATTATTCATCCGTATCTCTCATATGCTTCCTGTCCTTCAAGGGCTTAAAAACCACCTGCTCCAGGAAGACTCCTTGATCCCTCCCACTGGCAGAACCCCTACAGCAATCTACCCATTCTGTCCTCACAGCACACCTCACGTACTTGGGTTATGATTATACAGTCAAGCGCCACACAACACTTCGGTCAAGGACAGCCAGGCGTGGTGACACGCACAGTAAGCATATGCAACAGTGGCGCCAGAAGATTAATAGAGCTACAAAATTCCTATTGCCTAATGTGTAGCATAACGCATTACTCAAATGTCTGTGGTGATGCTGTTGTAAACATGCCTATTGCAGTGCCAATCATATAAAAGTATAGCACATACAATCATGTTCAATGCATCATACTTGATGACAATGAATGTTACTGGCTTATGATTTACTATCCTATACTTTTTATTGTAATTTTAGAGGTTACCCCTCCTACTTATTAAAAAAAAAAAAAAGTTAACTGTAAAACAGCCTCAGGCAGGTCCTTCAGGAGGTATTCCAGAAGGAGGCACTGCTGTCATAGGAGATGACAGCTCCATGCGTATTACTGTCCCAAAGACCTTCCAGTGGGATGAGATGTGGAGGTGGAAGACAGTGATATTGATGAGCTTGACTCTGTATAGGCCTAGGCCAATGTGTGTGTCTGTGTTTTAGTTTTTAACAAAAAGCTTAAAAAGTAAAAAAAAAAAAAAAAATTTAAAGGTGGAAAACAGCTTACAGAATAAGGATATAAATGGAAATTTTTTTTGTCTAGCTAATTTATTATTAAAGAACTATTTTATTTTATTTTATTGAGAAAGAGTCTCGCTGTCGCCCAGGCTGGAGTGCAGTGGCGTGATCTTGGCTTATTACAATCTCTGCCTCCCAGGTTCAAGCGATTCTCCTGCCTTAGCCTACTAAGTAGCTGGGACTAGAGGCGCATACCACTATGCTCAGCTAATTTTTGTATTTCTAGTAGAGATGGGGTTTCACCATGTTGACCAGGCTGGTCTCACATTCCTGACCTCAAGGGATCCACCTACCTCAGACCTCCCAAATGACTGGGATTATAGGCATGAGCCGCTGTGCCCAGCTGAACAAAAATGTTTTAATTAATTTAATGTAGCCTAAGCGTACAGTGTTTATAAACTATGTAGTAGTATACAGGGCTAGGCCTTCACATTCACTCACCACTCACTGACTCACCCCAAGCCAACTTCTAGTCTTGCAAATCCCAATCATGGTAAGTGCCCTATAGCGGTATACTGTCTTTCATACCATGTTTTTACTGTACCTTTTTAATGTTTAGATATGTTCAGATGCACCAATACTTACCATTGTGTTACAACTGCCTAGAGTATTCAGTAACATGCTGTCCATGTTTGTAGTCTAGGGGCAATAGGCTACACTGTATAGCCTACATGTATAGTAGGCTGTAACATCTAGGTCTGTGTAAGTACTATGACATTTGCACAACAACAACATTGCCTAAAGATGCATTTCTCACAACTCATCCCCATCATTAAGCAACACATGACTGTATACGTATCCTTCATACCTTTTCCCGAATGTCACTGAGACAGAATCTGCATCCAGTTATGACAGCTTTAACATGGTGAATAAATTTTTATTTATTTATTTATTTTTGCGACAGGGTCTCACTCTGTCACCCAGGCTGCAGTAGAGTGGCGTGACTTCAGCTCATGGCAACCTCCGCCTCTTGGGCTCAAGCAATCCTCCCACCTCAGCCTCCTAAGTAGCTGGGACTACAGGTGCGTGCCACCATGCTTGGCTAGTTTTTTAGTTTTTTTCTAGAGGTGAGATCTCACTATATTGTCCAGGCTGGTCTCGAACTCCTGGGCTCAAGCGATCCTCCCGCCTCAGCTTTCCAAAGTACTGAAATTACAGGCATGAGCCACCATACCCAGCCTGAATAAAATTAATGTAGGAGTTCTACATTATGAGCCAATTGAATATAGATAGTCACCTTGTCAACATCAACACATTCTTCATCTTCTTCTTTCCTTGTACTAAATTTGCTGCCATAAATCTTTCCAGAATCTGGGCTAAGTTGCCCTGGACTGGCTTACTCCAAGGCCTTCAAAATGGCACTTGATGCTTTTACAGACTGCTAGGCAACACGCAAATGGCTCTCAAACCAACATGTCTGGCCACAGCCATTCCTTTGAGTTTCAGACCTACTATTTGCTAACCACCTGACCAACTCTGAAAAAGACTTCGTTTGCTGAACTTGGTTAGCTCCAAGTCTCATTATATTACAAAATCACATAAGCTCAGCACATAGCCACATTTTGCTCCTCAAATTCATTTTGCCTTTACACTTAACAATGGGTCAGTTTTAAAGGCACTATCTGACCTTTTACCAAAGGAAGTTTGGCATCCTTAATTTAGAATAGCTTTAACATTTCTGCTAACTCTACTATTTATATACCCTAAAAGCCTTAACTCTCTACTGCCATTAAAGTTCAGTTTCCTCATCGAAAATATTCCATTAAGAATTCTATCTGGCAAAGCTGTGGTGAAGATTAGAAGTGCTGCGCAGCACAGTACCTGGCATACAGTACCTGCATAAACATTGGCCATCGTTAATTGTCACTTCAGGCCAAGATACATGTATGCTCCTCTGGCATGCGGCTTCTGAATGAGCTAAGGACACTTAAAAACCTTACTATTCCCCCCACAAACTACAAGGCCACACCACAGATGAAGGGCCTGTGTGACACACAGTAAAGCCTGCCTAGGGTAGAAGCCAACACTAGCATCTAGCTACAATCTACTGTTGCTAAGCGTTTTATGGAAGTCATTTCATTTAATCTTCACAATTCTGTGAATTCAATGTTAGTTATTTCCACTTTATAGATGAGGAAAATGGAGGCTTAGAAAAATGTTAAAACTTGCCCTAACTGGAGAGCCAGAAAGTAGCAGAACTAGAGTAGCTATAAGCCTGCAATCTTTTAAGGTTGACTACCTTCCATTTATTTTTTAATTGACAGATAAAATTGTATGTATTTATCAATGTATAACATGTTTTGAAGTGTATATACATTGTGGAAGGGTTAAATCTAATTAACATATGCATTAACTCACATAGTTACCATTTTTGTAGTAAGAACACTTAACAGTCACTCTCTTAGCATTCTTCAAGAATATAGTATATGGGCCAGGCACGGTGGCTCACACCTGTAATCCCAGAACTTTGGGAGGCTGAGGCAGGTGGATCATTTGAGGCCACGAGTTTGAGACCACCCTGGCTAACACGGTAAAACCCCATTTCTACTAAAAAGACAAAAAAAAAAAAATTAGCCGGGCATGGTGGTGCACACAGCATGTAGTCCCAGCTACTCGGGAGTCTGAGGCATAAGAATCACTTGAACCCAGGAAGTAGAGGTTGCAGTGAGCTGAGATCATGCCATTGCACTCCAGCCTGGGCAACAAAGTAAGACTCTGTCTCCAAAAAAAAAGAATATATGGTCACTGACTATAGTCTCCATGTTGTCCAACAGACCTCTAGAACTTATTCCTCCAAAATGAATTTTGTATCCTTTGACCATCATCTCCCCAAACCCCCTCCCAACCACCCCAGACCCTGGTGACTGCCATTCAACTCTATATTTCTATGAGAGCAACATTTTCAGATTCCACACATGAGTGAGATCATGTACTATTGGAGTTTCTGGGCCTGGCTTTATTTCACTTAACATCCTCCAGGTTCATCCATACTGATGCAAATGACAGGATGTCCTTCTTTATGGCTGAAGAGCATTTCATTATGTATATATACCACATTTTCTTTATCTACTCATCAGCTAATGGACTTAGGTTAATTCCATATCCCAGCTACTGTGAACAGTGCTGCAATAAACATGGGAGTGCAGATATCTCTTCAACATACTGATTTCATTTCTAAGTCAGCATTCTTAATAGCTACACTACCCTGTGTCACACCAGAGCTGGCTGTTGAGACTTTCCATCACCTACCTTGACCTAACCACCCTCTTCCACATTATTAAGAGACTCCCAGCTGCTAGTCTTTGCTGCTAATGCCTCTTGTTCTGTGCTTCCCCTCCCATTCACCGACTTGCAAGTTTTGTTTTGTTTTTTCACATTGTCAGGGATAGTTGTAAAAACTAGTCTCAATGTGTATACCCCCTTTTTTCCTCATCAGTAAAACAAATTTTACCTTTGGTGCTACACAATTTTTTACTCCTGCTGGTTTAAGTCCCATTTCAAATAACAGAGGTTTATCTCTACAGGCTGGCTGATCTATGCAAAAATGAGGTGTTACCACTGAATAGCTTTTATGCCAACAGTGATTTTTAATGAATTAAGTGAATTCAATCAATTCATTTGCAGATAAAGATAAAAGGGTTTAACGATGCTTTCCTTGAGTAACTTGTTAGTTGTTGATTATATTAAGTTAAGCTTTCCCATCTAAGCTTAGACATTAAGCCAACCCTTTACCTCTTCAAATTCACTTCAGGGCTCCATCCACACTACCTGTGGGATGTTTCCCAGCATACCCCTTGCTTGATACACTTGCCTTAACTCATACCTTTCCTAACACTCCTCAGGGTCACTTTAGTTGTTCCCATCTTTCTAATTAGTTCACAAAGAACTAACCTGCATCTTCTAAACACTTCTAAAACGCTTGTTACTAGAATAAAAAAAAAAAATAGGTTAACAAAATACAAATAGAGCAAAATGAAATAAACAGAGCAAGAATTCCTTAAAATTCAGAATTAAATACAAACAAGTTTATCATCAACAGAGTATTTATGAAAAAAGTTTCATCTCTGGGTCTCTTGGGCTTTAATGCAAGTAAAATAACTTAAAAAGTAAATCAATTCTACCAAACGTGTATCATACTGGCCTCTGTGAATCATCTGTTTGAATTAGCCACAGCTCCAGTAACAGGTATACTTAATTCAGATTCTCCCAAAGGAACCTAATATGCACCAACCGGCCAGAATTACAAAGAAATCAAAATTAATCAATAAAATGAGCAGTTAATGATAAATAAAAGTAACTTACCTACTTCAGTGAGCTGATGTCTTTCTAATGTTAAATTCTTTGGATCCTTAATAAAATGAAAGGGTTGTATTTTTATTCCTTCAATTTGAGGGAATAATAAAGCAAAACCAGATTCTCCAATTTCTATTTCCTGAGGTCGATTGCTACCTGATCCCATTGGAGTCACTAGAGAAAAAGTTAAACAGTTTCATCAATACATTCAGTAAAAACTAGATAACCACAGTCTAGGTCACTAAGATAATCATCAAGCTAACAAGCTACTATCTGAGTAAAAGTTTTTCAGCTTTGACAGTTTTAGGGTGTAGTGTCATGATGTTTGCAATTTAACTTTCAAATGGTTCAGAAAGAAATTTTGTATAAGCAAAGTGAGAAAACACAAATGTTGCAGAACTTTTTCAACTGCTAACCTAGATAAAGGGTATATGGGTATTTATCATGCTATTCTATTATTCTTTCAACTTTTCCATACTTTTCAAAATAAAAAGTTGGGGGAGTAGTAAATACACTTTCACAGCAATTCCAATTTTTAAAAGTTTACCCTAAAAATATTTGACAATTATATAAAGTATATATATCCAAGTATTTTATCACATAATTTCAAATAGGAAATAAACAGAAAAAACCTGAATGTCCCACACTGGTATTGAGATTAAAAGTTACACTGGTATCATAGAATATAGCCATTAAAATGATGACAAATGTAGATTTATAGACATAGAAATATGTTTGTAATATGATCTGAATTTTACAGGTAGATATTACAGATTGAACTGTGTCATCCTCCTCCCTACTGCCTACCCCAAATTCATGTTGAAGCCCTAACCCCCGATGTGACTATATTTGGAGATAAGGCCTTTAAAGAGATAGTTAAGATTAAATGAGGTAGGCCAGGCGCGGTGGCTCAAGCCTGTAATCCCAGCACTTTGGGAGGCCGAGATGGGCGGATCACGAGGTCAGGAGATCGAGACCATCCTGGCTAACACGGTGAAACCCCATCTCTACTAAAAAAAATACAAAAAACTAGCCGGGCGAGGTGGCGGGCACCTGTAGTCCCAGCTACTCAGGAGGCTGAGGCAGGAGAATGGCGTAAGCCCGGGAGGCGGAGCTTGTTGTGAGCTGAGATCCAGCCACTGCACTCCAGCCTGGGCCACAGAGCGAGACTCCGTCTCAAAAAAAAAAAAAAAAATTAAATGAGGTCATAAGGGTAGGGCCCTAATCCAAAAGAGGAAGAGACACCAGGCATGCTTATGTACAAAGAAAAGGCCACATGAGAACACAGTGAGAAAGCAGCTGTAAGCAAGCTTCAGAGAGGCCATCCCCAATCTTGGACATCTAGCCTCCCAAACTGTGAGAAAATAAGCTTCCGTTGGTTAACCCACCCAGTCTGTGGTATTTTGTTATGGTAGCCCTAGCAGACTAACACAGTAGGTTACAAGTCTATAGAAAATTTTATTCTGGTTTTTTATATTTACATACATATATAAATAAAGGTTAACATCATAAGAGTGGTTAACTCTGTGGTGCTTAAAGGTGCTTAATTGTTTTGCTTTTGCTTACCTGAATCTTCTAATTTTTCTTCTTCTAAAAATAAATATTATTAGCATAAAAAAAAAACAACTTTTTTTTTTTTTTTTTAGACAGAGTCTCACTCTGTCACCCAGGCTGGAGTGAAGTGGTGCAAACTCTGCCTCTCGGTTTCCAACAATTCTCCTGCCTCAGCCTCCCAAGTAGTTGGAATTACAAGCATGAGCCAACCATGCCCAGCTAATTTACCTTCTTTTTTTTTTGAGACAGAGTCTTGCTCTATCACCCAGGCTGGACTGCAATGGCATGATCTCGGCTCACTGCAACCTCCGCCTCCTGGGCTCAAGCAATTCTCCCGCTTCAGCTTCCTGAGCAGCTGGGATTACAGGTGCCCGCCACCATGCCCGGCTAATTTTTGTATTTTTAGTAGAGATGGGGTTTCACCATGTTGGCCAGGCTGGTCTTGAACTCCTGATCTCATGATCCACCCAACTTGGCCTCCCAAAGTGCTGTGACTACAGATGTGAGCCACCGTGCCTGGTCAATTTTTACATTTTTTAGTAGAGATGGGGTTTTGCCATGTTGGCCAGGCTAGTCTCCAACTCCTGACTTCAAGTGATCCGCCTGCCTCGGCCTCCTAAAGTGCTGGGATTACAGGCATGAGCTACCATGCCCAGCCAAAAAGAAATAAGCTCTTTTTTAAAAAAAATGTTAAGCCCTTTAGAAACCAAAGCTAGAGCAACTGAACAAATAATATTCATTTGTAAACACATGAAATTCTTCTTACCTCACGGTACAAGACTCAAATTCAGATCAAAACTCTTTCAGTGAAGATTAAAAATGACAATTCTCAGTACAGTACTACTGAGTTAGAACTAAAAAACATAACAGTGGCCAGGTGTGGTGGCTCACACCTGTAATCCCAGCACTTTGGGAGGCTGAGGTGGTGGATCACCTGAGGTTAGGAGTTTGAGACTAGCCTGGCCAACACGGTGAAACCCGGTTTCTACTAAAAATACAAAAAATAGCCAGGCGTGGTGGTGGTGGGCGCCTGTGATCCCAGCTACTTGGGAGGCTGAGGCAGGAGAATCGCTTGAATCTGGGGGGCAGAGGTTGTGCAGTGAGTGGAGATCACGCCATTGTACTCCAGACTGGGCGACAAGAGTAAAACTCCATCTAAAAAAATAATAACAATAAATACATGACAGCTAACATTTACTTACTGCTTTCTGTGTTATCTCTATGCTTTACAAGTGTTAACTCATTTAATTCTCACAACCCTCCAAGGAAGGTACTATTGTCATCATCCCCACTTCCCTGATGAGGATAGTGAAGCCTCGTGAAGTTAGGTAACTTGCTCAAAGTCACACGATACTAAGCAGTACAGCTGGCATTCCAATCCAGGTATCTAACCACTGTACCATTACTGCCTCAACAGAATCTCTCCTCCCCCAATTAACTACAGAAAATAATAAAAAATAATAAAAATAATAAAAATCAGCAAAAATTCACCAGCAGCAATCAAGCATGGAAAGGGGCACAGCCTCAGGCTATAAGTGTCAAAGAGTGGTACCAAAGCAGAGAAACAGAAATTTCCTAACAAGGCCCATCTTTGCTCCTAATCCCAGTCCCATCTCACCCCTACCCACCAGAAACAATACTGCTTGAACTGACAAAACTCTGAAAATGCCCACAAATACTTCCTAATTTGGAGGGAGGCCGAATGAGATCTTTCACCTCTTATGAATGACTACTGGATATGCATTATACAGGTAGCCTTAAGATGAGAAATACCACAATAACTTAATAAACATTAATATAAGGCAAATATAAAGCCATGGTAAATATGACTGACTTTATTGTATTTTAGATGTCCAGAAACAGAAATGTGGTTCCCAGCTAAAAATAATTCACCAATCCAAAGGACCCCACATTAATGCAAGGAGGAAATCATCAAGTTGCTAATTTTTCTCACCTACAATTCCTGGGGTCACAATCCCAAGGACCTGGCATTGTTTGGGGAATAGCTTCTCAAGGGCAAGTGCTGTTTCCATACTAGTTCTTTTCCTTGCTGTAAAAATACAGTAGCAAAATGATTAAATATCATCCATTTAAAGTCAAATCTGACAATGAAAAAGTAAAAAAGCAAATACTGGAAATATTTAAGTCACCTGACACAAGAATGCTCTAAATAAAGGTCTAAAAGCATTGATTAAAACAAACACTTTACCTGTTTTGGTCCTGGCTTTTAAATTCTAAATCTGATCTTTTGCACCACTAGTCTGCCTTTCCTCTCTGTTCTTATAATGCTTTTGCCCCAGTGATGTCAAATTTAGCAGTAACAGCTGAATTTTAGACTTGCTGCTGTACCTTTCTGTTCAGCTGATATTGCAGTATAACTACTATTTGCATCAACAGTTAACTGGATTCAAATTAGACAATAAGAATCCATTACCTAAGTCTAACTTGGGGGCTATGTATGCCCATCTTGAATACCTATTCTGCCTTTTCCCTCAGCCAGCCAAAAATGCACCATTTCTCTACATAACTTTGGTAAATGGGACCTCATGTTCCAATATAGTAAAAGGCCTGAAGAGCCAAGGTCATACAACCTGTTTTAATAATAAAAAGTGCCTGGAGAATTAAAGCATCTCAAATTGAGAAAAAACATCTTTCTAATGAATTTGTTTCAATTACACTACAAGGTTTAGAAATCAATCTGAAGCAGAAAGGGTTCCTCAAGGTTCAAAGATAGAGACATTCATGCATACTACAGGTGGCAGTCCCAGAGCCTCAGAAAGTCGATTAACTCTCAGGACAAGTACAATATTGAACTCCAAACAGAAGGCACATGATGGAAAAAAACAGAAACAAAAGCTTTTCTTTTGATATTTACCTCTCTTATGGCCACGACACTCTTCCAGACTAATGAAAGTTTCTGAATCAGCCATGTAAAGAACTGTATGTGGTAAGATGCGAACATTCTGCAAAAAAAAAAAAGGAATTGGATCCCATGAATCCATGAGTGCTTCTGCATAGTCCCTTAAAGTATCACCCAGTCCACAGTGCAATGAAATTAGAACTCAGGATTAAAAAACTCACTCAAAACTGCACAATTACATGGAAACTGAACAACCTGCTCCTGAATGACTACTGGCCAAATAACAAAATGAAGGCAGAGATAAAGATGTTCTTTGAAACCAATGAGAACAAAGACACAATGTACCATAATCTCTGGGACACAGCTAAAGCAGTGTTTAGAGGGAAATTTATAGCACTAAATGCCCACAGGAGAAAGCGGGAAAGATCTAAAATCAACACCCTAACATCTTAATTAAAAGAACTAAAGAAGCAAGAGCAAACAAATTCAAAAGCTAGCAGAAGGCAAGAAACAACTAAGATCAGAGCAGAACTGAAGGAGATAGAAACATGAAAAATCCTTCAAAAACTCAATGAATCCAGGAGCTGGTTTCCTGAAAAGACTAACAAAATAGACCGCTAGCCAGACTAATAAAGAGAGAAGAATCAAATACACACAATAAAAAATGATAAAGAGGATATCACCACTGATCCCACAGAAATACAAACTGTCATCAGAGAATACTATAAACACCTATATGCAAGTAAACTAGAAAATCTAGAAGAAATAGATAAATTCCTGGACACATACCCTCTCCCAAGACTAAATCAGGAAGAAGTCGAATCTCTGAATAGACCAATAACAAGTTCTGAAATTAAGGCAGTAACAGCCTACCAAGCAAAAAAAGCCCAGGACCAGACGAATTCACAGCCAAATTCTACCAAAGGTACAAAGAGGAACTGATACCATTCCTTCTGAAACTATTCCGAACAATAGAAAAAGAGGGACGCCTCCCTAACTCATTTTTTGAGGCCAGCATCATCCTGATACCAAAACCTGGCAGAAACACAACAAAAAAAGAAAATTTCAGGCCAATATCCCTGATGAATATCGATGTGAAAATCCTCAGTAAAATACTGGCAAACCGAATCAAGCAGCACATCAAGATAAAAGCTTATCACCACGATCAAGTCAGCTTCATCCCTGGGATGCAAGGCTGGTTCAACATATACAAATCAATACACGTAATCCATAACATAAACAGAACTGATAACAAAAACCATGATTATCTCAACAGATGCACAAAAGGTCTCTGATAAAATTCAACACCACTTCATGCTAAAAACTCTCAATAAACTAGGTAATGATGGAATGTATCTCAAAATAATAAGAGCTATTTATGACAAACCCACAGCCAATATCATACTGGATGGGAAAAAGCTGGAAGCATTCCCTTTGAAAACCCGCAGAAGACGAGGATGCCCTCTCTCACCACTCGTATTCAACACAGTATTGGAAGTTCTGGCCAGGGCAATCAAGCAAGAGAAAGAAATAAAGGGTATTCATATAGGAAGAGAGGAAGTCAAATTGTCTCTGTTTGCATATGACATGACTGTATATTTAGAAAACCCAGTTATCTCAGTCCCAAATCTCCTTAAGCTGATAAGCAACTTCAGCAAAGTCTCAGGATACAAAATCAATGTGCAAAAATCACAAGCATTCCTACACACGAATAATAGACAGCCAAATCATGAGTGAACTCACATTCACAACTGCTACAAAGAGAATAAAATACCTAGGAATACAACTTACAAGGAATGTGAAGGACCTCTTCAAGGAGAAATACAAACCACTGCTCAAGGAAGTAAGAGAGGACACAAACAAATGGAAAAACATTCCATGCTCATGGATAGAAAGAATCAATATTGTGAAAATGGCCATACTGCCCAAAATAATTTAGAGATTCAATGCTATCCCCATCAAGCTACCATTGACTTTCTTCACAGAATTAGAAAAAACTACTTTAAATTTCATATGGAATCAATAAAGAGCCCGTATAGCCAGGACAATCCTAACCAAAAAGAACAAAGCTGAAGGCATCATACTACCTGACTTCAAACTATACTATAAGACTACAGTAACCAAAACAGCATGGTACTGGTACCAAAACAGATATACAGACCAATGGAACAGAATAGAGGCCTCAGAAATAACACCACACATTTACAACCATCTGATATCTGACAAACCTGACAAAAACAAGCAACAGGAAAAGGATTCACTATTTAATAAATGGTGTTGGGAAAACTGGCTAGCCATATGCAGAAAACTAAAACTGGATCCCTTCGTTACACCTTATACAAAAATTAACTCAAGATGGATTAAAGACTTAAGTGTAAGACCTAAAACCATAAAATCCCTAGAAGAAAATCTAGGCAATACCATTCAGGACACAAGCATGGGCAAAGACTTCATGACTAAAACACCAAAAGCAATGGCAACAAAAGCCAAAATTGAGAAATGGGATCTAATTAAACTAAAGAGCTTCTACACAGCCAAAGAAACTATCATCAGAGTGAACAAGCAACCTACAGAATGGGAGAAAATTTTTGCAATCTATCCATCTGACAAAGGGCTAATATCCAGAATCTACAAGGAACTTAAACAAATTTACAAGAAAAAAACAACACCATCAAAAAGTGGGCAAGGTATATGAACACACACTTCTCAAAAGAAGACATTTATTTATGTGGCCAACAAACATATGAAAAAAGGCTCATCATCACTGGTCATTAGGGAAATGCAAATCAAAACTAAAATGAGATACCATCTCACACCAGTTAGGGTGGCGATCATTAAAAAGTCAGGAAACAACAGATGCTGGAGAGGATGTGGAGAAACAGGAACACTTTTACACAGTTGGTGGCAGTGTAAATTAGTTCAACCACTGTGGAAGACACTGTGATGATTCCTCAAGGATCTAGAAAGAGAAATACCATTTGACCCAGCAATCCCATCACTGGGTATATACCCAAAGGATTATAAATCATTCTACTATAAAGACATGTGCATATGCATGTTTACTGCAGCACTGTTCACAATAGCAAAGACTTGAAACCAACCCAAATGCCCATCAATGATAGACTGGATGAAGAAAACGTGGCACATATGCACCATGGAATACTATGCAGCCATAAAAAAAATGAGTTCACATCCTTTGCAGGGATATGAATGAAGCTGGAAACCATCATTCTCAGCAAACTAACACAGGAACAGAAAACCAAATGCCGCATGTTCTCATTCATATGTGGGAGCTGAACAATGAGAACACGTGGACACAGGGAGGGGAACATCACACACCAGGGCCTGTCGGGGAGTGGGGGGTTATGGGAGGGATAGCATTAGGAGAAATACCTAATGTAGATGACAGGTTGATGGGTGCAGCAAACCACCATGGCACGCGTATACCTATGTAACAAACCTGCACGTTCTGCACATGTATCCCAGAACTTAAATTAAAAAAAAAAAAGTATCACCCCATCCAAACTGCTGGTGCCCTACCGTCTTTCAGGTCAATGTTGGCATTCTGAGTCAATCTACTTCTCATTTACTTTTCACTCATGCTCTTTCATTTTCAGTTCATTTATTAAACACCTACTATTTCTTCATTCCAGCCCTCAAGAAGTTCATTTTCTTAATAACTGAAGCTCTTAGAACAAAAACATCAAGTACCAGCAAAAGACACACTTGTTTTATATAAACAGGCATTACAGTATCCGAAAAATCTCAGTAATGGGGAATCACTCCTCTTTTCACTGCTCATTAAATCAAATACTCCAAGCCTCCATTTCCAGCCTTGACAACAAGGCATCCTTCAGGGCCCCTTAGCTTACTATTAATATTATCCAGACACACCCACTTCTCCATGTGTTCTATTGCTCTGTTCCTGTAGAACTTAAGACTGTTTCCCTCTAGAGACACTTTAAGTGCCACCTCCTCTCCAAAACCTTTTCCTAAACTCCCTCAGTACTCTGGACCTCAGATGCAACATCCCTTACCCCTAGTTAATCTTATTTGTGCCCTATCTCCCCTATGAGCTGGGCCTATTCAAACTCACTTGTTTTCAACTAAACTTTCCAATGAAAGACAAGTGGCAAAGCAGCTGAATTAAATGAAAATGATGAATATATTTTTCTAAGCTAGCTATTTTCAAATATTTTTTACTACAAGAATAAAATGAAGTACTTAGGATATAGCAAGGCCTCATTATTGGTTAAATGGAAAAAAAAAAAAAAAAGTTGGTCCATGAAGTACTTAGCATATAGCAAAGCCTCACTATTGGTTAAGTGCGAAAAAAAAAAAAGTTGGTCCATTATAATTTGGGGGAATGCCAAGATGTTTCAGAATACATTCTATATAGATAAACTAATAAAAGAGACAGATAGCATGATGGCCTGTGGGGCCCATGGCTGCCCAAGACCTACAGATATAGTTTCCTTGCTCCACACAGCATTTTCAGAAAATGTAAACTGAATGCCAATGTTCAAAATTCCACCGAATTTTTACATAAAATGTGGATTTCCAGATTCTTTTTAAAAACTGGACATTTTGGCAACACTTAGACTACATGCCTCTTAACTAAGGCTAAATGGAGGCAAGCCTTTCCAGTCTGCCATGGTGCTACCACTCTGTTGAGCTACCTGACCCTCTTCACCTAACTGCCTGACCTTCAAGTCATCTGAATCTGTGATGCCTGGTATAGTGAGTAAAGGAGAGAGAACTCAAAGAGATTTAGGGGCCAGGCACCGTGGCTCACGCCTGTAATCTCAGCACTTTGGGAGGCCACGGTGGGTGGATCACCTGAGGCCAGGGTGAGACCAGTCTGGCCAACAGGGTGAAACCCCATCTCTACTAAAATACAAAAATTAACTGGGTGCGGTGGCATGCACCTGTAGTCCCAGCTACTCAGAAGGCTAAGGCAGGACAATCACTTGAACTCAGAAGGTGGAGGCTGCACTGAGCCGAAATCAGGCCACTGCACTCCAGCCTGGACAACAGGCGAGACTCTGTCTCAAAAACAAAACAAAACAAAAAACAGATTTAGGTCTTAGTGGCAACTCTGCCACAAACCAGCAGAATAACCCTCATCAAGCTTTTAGGCCTCAGGTTTCTTACTCCTGAACAAGGATTAAAAGTCTCATCCTGAGATTTTATGAATCTCCCTCTCCTGGCACCCACTGAAAAGCAACTGCTGAATTTTCCGTCCTAATTCACACTAGAAGAAGTGACATAACAAGTCTCAACATGAAATGTTCTCAGAGCACAGTTAAGACAGCTAGCACCACATTCCACTGTTCAAAGAAGTTACAAATGGCAAGTTGTTTTATAAAGCTTTTGGCAGACTTTAAAATATTTCTTTTCTTTTTTTTTTTTTTTTTTTTTTTGAGACAGAGTCTCACCCAGGCTGGAGTGGCGCAATCTGGGCTCATGCAAACTCCATCTCCCCAGTTCAAGCGATTCTGGTACCTCAGCTACCTGAGTAGCTGCGATTACAGGTTTGCATCAACACGCCCAGCCAATTTTTGTACTTTAATACTTTTATTTATATTTGATATTGATATATATATTATATTGATATATAAAATATTTGATATTTTAAAGTAATATTTTTAAATTTTATATTAATATTTTTAGTGGAGACAGGGGTTTCACCATGTTGGCCAGGCTGTTCTCTAACTCCTGACCTCAAGTGATTTGCCTGCCTCGGCTTTCCAAAGTGCTGGGATTATAGGCATGAGCCGCCGTGCCTGGCGGACTTTAAAATATTTCTAATAGAAAAGTTAAATCAACTTTCTTTATAGATATAAAAGTGCCCATGTCCACTAGATAACTTGGAAAACACAAATAAACAGCACGTATGATTTGGATAGAGTTTTCATGTTTTTGTCTCACCAACAGTTTACTATAATGGAGGAACTCCTCTAAGGGCATTACTATAACTATGTGAACTTTAATAATGATACTAATAAAAGAATATTTAACAGACATCTATTGAGAACTTATACTCCTGGTACTATAAGTAATGTGTTATATGCATTACCTTTTCATTATTTAATCCTTACAACAACTCTATAAGGGCACAGGAAAATTATTATTTTTCTTTTTATTTTATGGAGATAGCACCTGAGGCTCAGAGAAGTTAAGTAGCTTTTCAAAGTCACACCGCTGGTATATGCCAAAGCTACGATTCATACCTTAGTCTGTCTGGCTATTAACAGCCACCACAATGTATAAACTCTTAAAGCTATAGAAAAATAATGCCTGTTGTGGTAAAAATTTGAAAACGATGACCACAGAGAGAAAACTTTTTAAAAACATTAAATAGAAAAAAAAAGCTATTTTGGCTTTCTTTTCTACTCTCCCTTTTGGTCTTTAATAATTCAGATGATACTAAATATATAATTTTATAATCTTTTCACTTTTAAAATCAACATTTGCTCTTGTCATTAATGCACTTGCAGTTTATAATTTAATAGCTTTATTTATTAAATTAATATTCGGTTTTTAGTATCCCTTTATTATAAATGATGCTCCAGAGAACACTTCTGAGGAAAAATGCCTGCTTGCATTTTGAATTTTTCCAAATGATAAACTTCTGGAAAAATGGCAGGAGTTGGGACAAAGCACCAGACAAGTTTTCTACAAGCCTGCCTCTGGATACTGGCCAGCTCCCTGGGATGAGAGTTCCAGAGCCCAGACAAGGTAAGGAGAAAGACCACCCAAGGAAGGGGGAAACAGAAGAGTGGTTACATATGGGGCATTGAGGTAATATCTAAATACATTAAGAATGATGAGAACCAGTTTCCCTTTGCCCAAAAGGGAGGTACAAATATGAGCAGAGACAAAACTAGAAAGCATCCTGCATTTGATTAGAAAAGGATGCACCTGTGTGAACTCATAAGTTACCACATACATAGAAATACAGTTGTAAACGTGTGTATATGTGTATGCTGATGTATATACATACACATGCATGTATATACATACGTACACTCCTTGGCTCTGTCTAATGACTGGGCTTTGGAGCAGCAAATCCCTCAATGGCAAGGAGTGTACTTAAAGAGTCTAGACCTTGATTTCTAAATACCACACTCCACCAAAAGGAGCCAGGGCTTAATGACCAATTCCAGGACCAAAGCAGGTAAAACCCAAGACAAGCTTAGAACATCTTGTGCCAGAAAAAAGAAAAGTGCTCAAAGATAATGGAGTCATCTCTAAAAAGACACTGAAGCCAGCCTGAAGGAGCTCCCACTAGCCAAACTGTGGCGGGGGTGGGGGGCATAATTTGAGCACCAAAATACAGTAACAGATTATAGCCCACTGAATTACATAAGACTCCGAGAGTGTACAGATACAAATAAATAAACGAATTGAAACACGATATTTACATAGTTTCAAATGATCCCTTCACAAAACAATCATTACAGAAGAGTGATTTTAGTGAAGACACTTGGCAAGCACCACCTTAATTGAGTAATCAAAGGTAATACCACCAATAACGAGACCAATGGAAATCACATGCCACCTAAAAGGATGCCGTGAAAAGAGCACAGCATCACTTCTGTGATTATTTCCTGCCAAAGACACAATTGATGGATGTTCTACAAAATAGCCTGCAATTTTCCTAGGTGTCAAGATTTGGAAAAATCAAGCAAAGCTTGTGAAACTGTTCCAGATCAAAGGAGATTAAAGAAACATGACTTACTTAGAGCAACTTACAATTGGGAACAGATCTTTTTGCCATGAAGAACCTGACTGGGACAACTGGCAAAATCTGAACCGAGTCTGAGGATAAAATGGTAGAAACGTATCAGTGATAATTTCCTGATTGTGACAGCTGCACCGTAGTTATGTCTGTAAGCCGTACTAAAGTAAACAGAGTGACAGAGCAGCAGGTTGGCACTTCACTGTCAAAGGGCTCCCTTCCACTCCCCAGAGAGATGGTACACCCTGCAGCCCCTCCAACTCCACAGTCCGAGTCTTCATCTCTCCAGGTGTTGGCTCCCCTTTTGAAGTTGGGGGCCAGAGAAGCAAAAGAGTACAGGATCGAAAGTTGAAATATTTGGCTTTAAGTTTTGGTTCTTAGTTTTCTAGGTGTGCTACACTGAGCAAGACACACCCAGTTGTCTTCCCGGTAAAAGACAACAAAAACTTGCTTCAAGGGAAGCAGGTGAAGGGAAGGTTCTGCACAGCGTTGTTGTTAATAGTGAAAATGTGCATACTTAAAAGGCCCAACATTTGATGAACGGTCAAATAAATCATGACACATCCTTACCGTGTAGTCACTAAAACTGATGTTTACAAAATCTTTTCCCGGCACAAGAAGATGTTCCTTGAATTAACAAAACTGGGATTAAAAAAAAAAATAGTTCTCAAAAGACTGAACCACCAACCTGCAAATGACTGTGCATGACACCCCTTGCTACTTGCCTCAAGCTCCTCTGCTACTACGCGAACCAAGCAATGCCTCTCCAGGTGGCCGGCCTCGGCCAGGCCTGCGGAGATCCAGGTTACGCTCCGATGGGTCCGCAACACTCTGCGCACACACTCCCTCCATAAGCGGCACACGCTGGGGACGCAAACGCACAAAGGATTGCAAACGGACGTTCATTTTCGTCTCTCCCACAGCTCACAAACCCCCACCCACTGGAGCAGCAGGAGATCCCTGCGGGATCCAAAGTCCCCGGGGGAGGTAGGTGTCAGTCAGGGCGCTGGTTCGGAAGGAGAGCCAGATGTGGAGAAAACCTTAAGGGGAACTTCGCCCCTCAGCGAAGTCCCCCGGGGCACCACGGCTGGGAGATACCTCGCGGGTAGCGGGTAACCTCAGGTAGGGCGAGGGAGCTGGGGAGAGCCCTGGGTCCCCACGGTCTCTCCCCACCCCGCCAGCCTGGGGCATGCCCACGGCGTGTCACGAGGCAAGCTTCCCGCCTCCGCCTCCTCTCCTCACCAGGCCACCCGCAGCAACGCCTTGGCGGGCAGGAAGGTGAGCACACGCTCCACCACCTCCGCCAGGTTACTCAACACGAAGGTGCTCCGTGGGTCTACGGAGGAGGAGCCGCAGCGGTCGCCGCTGCTGCCCCCCAGCTCCATTCCTCACTAGCCCGCCGGAACCAGTCCTACGGCGGCCCGGAGGAACCCGATTACGCCAGCACAGAGTTGCCTGGCCGGCGCGCACTGAGCAGGCGCCCGCGCCACTTCCGGCCGGACGGGGACGGTGGGCGTGGCAACGCCGGTGAGTTCCCTGGCCTGGAGTCCGCACACCGAGGTTGAAGCCATCCGTTCCATAATACGCTCGGAACTGTTTTTTCATTTTTGAGATTGGGTCTAATGCTGTGGGCAGGCAGGAGTGAAGTGGCGCGGCCTCTGCTCACTGCAGCTTCTACCTCCCAGGCTCAAGCGATCCTCCCGCCTCAGCCTCCCTCATAGCTTGAACTACAAGCTCCCGCCACTACGCCCAGCTAATTTTTGTATTTTTTGTAGTGACAGGTTTCCCTATGCTCTCCAGGCTGGTCTCAAACTCCAGGGCTCAAGCGATACTCCCGCCTGGGCCTCCAAAGGTGCTGGAATTACAAGCATGAGCCACCGCGCCTGGCAACTTTCCAGGAGGCCTCTTGCAGTGAAAATAAATCCTGTGTGCTTCTCACTGCCCTGGCACCGCCATATTTCTGAGTTTACATCGTTCTCTAATTCACAAATTCCTTGCAGAGACTAGGTAGTACTTATTGCTCTTCATAGTTCCAATGCCTGTTTAAATAGCATAAGCTCAATTTTTGAACGGACAGTGTTTGCTTTTAAAAAATTGTCCTAGTGTGTGAAAATCACTGCCTTTATTCCTTGGTAAACTTAGTTAACTCGTTGTAATCTTCAGGTTTAAAGTTTCGAATGAGTAAAATGGCATAAATAGCACCTACCATTCTAAGGTAGCTGAGTGAGATTATTGCTGTGAAGCACGCCCGAAGTTGTGCACCAGTTCCCCGCCAGGAACATCAGATTCACCTGGAAACTACTAAGTTTTAGCACATTTCCCGTCCTTACCCCAGACCTCCTAAATCAGACACTGGGGGTGAGGCCCAGCAATCTATGTTTTAACAAACTTTATGGCGATTCTGATGCATGCTCAAACTGAGAACCACCAAAAAATGGAAGCACAGCAGACACAGGTTTGTCCATTCCTCCCGCCAATTCCTTCCCAAGGGAGCCCAGATTTGATCGCCAGATCTTGGGCAGAAACTTGGTCTAAATCAGAAGTTCTCATTATGGCCTCAGGACCCTTTACACCCTAAAATATTGACACGACCAATAGTTTGTGTGTTATGACTATCAATATTTACCATATTAAAAATTAAATCAGAACATCTTTTTAAAAAACAGATGTTATACATTAACGAAATATTTTTATGGAAAACAACTATTTCCCAAATCCTCCTTCCCCCACTGGTGGATAGTATGACATTGTCACTGGTATAAGCCTCCTGAGTAGCTGTGACTTTTTTTTGGTAGACCCAGGGTCTATGTTGCCCAAGCTGGTCTCAAACTCCTGGCCTCAAGACATCCCTCTGCCTCTGCCTCCGCCTCCGCCTCCGCAAGCGTTGAGATTACAGGTATGAGCCAACAAGCCCAGTCAGTTTTTTTCCTTAGTCTATTTATAGGCACAGCTGCTTAAGGAAGCCAGATGGCCCAGATGTCACCAGAGTTTAATACCAGAGGAAGATAAAGAGGCACCCTCCGGTTACCTTTAGATCATTAACATAATGCTAAAATCCTCTTCCCTAAAAAGCAAGCTCACTGGCATCTCATGAACATGGATGTATGAAGCAGCATGTTCAGGGACTATGCTTGTCTGGAACTCCAGCCTGTGCATGCCCTTCATACCTCCCCCACCCCCTCAGTTAACTCTTTAAACTCCCCAGCCTCCTATCCCTCTGGGAGAAGGTGCCTTGAGAGCATGAGCTCCCTTTCTCCATTCTCTGGCTACTGAACGACACCCGATTGTCTTTCAAAGTGGGCGTTCTTTCTTTGTGGCTGATATAAAACAGGGAGAGGACAGTTTACCAGTGGCGACATCACTTTACATTTTGCAAATATTTAATTTCTGTCTTAATGGAAGACAGACAGATTCTCATATTTGCTTCTGAATTTGATCTGTTGCAAAATCACATCATGTAGCCTCTGGAAAACTCCATTGTACACACGAAAGAATGAGTGAAAATGGCAAATGTTTTAGTATTATGAAAATAGTCTCTTGAAATGGTCTCGGGGGTCTCCAGTGTTCCCCAAATCATGCTTTGAGAACCATTGTGCAAACTAATCACGATGGTTTCATTCTTTTCACCACCATTGGTTTAGGGGTAGGCACAGGGCCCTGATGTAGCCAAGGAAAGGCGAGAGGCCGTGTACTTGATGGGATGGTGCTTTTAGAGATTTTCTCATCTCCTAAGGAGACACTAGAAAACAGGGGCATTTATCTACCTCTGAATCAAGTAAGGTGGCTACACATAACATGCAACCAAAAGATGAAACCAACATAGAAAAATCTCAAGGAAGCAGTGCAAAGCCCAGATGTACAGTACAACTGGAGTTATCCTACCTCTGGACTTCTTGTATGTGAAATAACCTGTCCATTGTGTGTAAGGAGGCCATGGGTACGCTAAGAAGTAGCAGATTATTTTCACTGGGGGAACTAAGGATAGCCATAAGGAAAAAGTGGCACTTGAATTTATAATGAGAACGGAAGAGGAAAAAGGCTGAGGAAAAGGTGACTATTCTACAGACCATTTCCAGGTTCTTTCCCTTTCTATTGTTAAATCTGCCTGTTTTCCAAGCCTCCCCTCACCACTTCCCTCCTTAAATTATCTTATTCCAGAAACTCAATAGAGCTTACAAACACATCAAGCAGAGTTTTCTTATGAGGGAAAAATGAGAAAGTAATCTTTTTTTTGCTTGCCATGATCAGCACAAACCAAATTTTTAAATGGTTTATTCATAAACTTGATGCAAGTTTACAAAATTTACTGTACATTGCCAAATAAATCTGCAAGTAAAAATAAAATCCATAAAACAAAGCATGCCAAATGTGCAGCTATCAATCTGCTTGCCATCAGGATATTAAAGAATTCAACAATGTATTCAAGATTTAGCCTTAGGCTTAAGGAACTTTACTGCTTTAAAGAATTCTGCCATGTCACTTGTTATCTGAGCAACTGGCAATGAGAACTTTATACAAATGTAACCAAGTGAACAAGAATACCAGAAAATTTACTGCTCTCTTAACCAAAATAGAATCAAAAGAAATTAAACACACACAATAATGTAGAAATGACAAGTCTCTTAGATGTGGTTTACAAAGTTAACTGAATCTCAAAGCAAATGCATAAGAAACACTTTTGAACTTTGTAACTAGTTTGTGCAGAAAAATGTGCTTATGGATTTCTTGTTAAAAGTGCTTAATAACTAGAATTTACTTTTAAATCAAACTTGGGTGTATTAAAAAAATCTATTACCAACCAAAAAGGACTGATTCAGGTAAGGCAATAAAATGGAGAGTACCTTGATTTGAGTCAGGTTCCATCAAAAATTAACATACGTAGAGTTTCTATTAATCTTTCAATGTAAAAGTCATTGTTTTGACTATGGCAAAAGTTACTTTAAGAGTCTCCAAATTAAGTATATTTTTCTACTTAACTGCGCAGCTTTTGCTCAAGGAGTCTTTGTGCCAATCACTTTATAAGTTTATTAGTTTACAAATGATTGCAACATCCCGTTAATAAAATGGAAACGTAAGATGACTTAGTATTTTAAATAACTTTAAGCTCTATACTGTGGCTCTTGTTCATAAGAAACACTGAACCAACAAGCAGCAGATTCAGCCCAGCAAGACTCTGATGCCCCAGTGGAAATCACTACTTGCAAGCCTTAACTGATATAGTTTTACACTGCTTTGCCTAAGAAGAACAATGTAACTCAATTAAGAATATTATCTTCAGGAAACAATTCATATCTTCACATAGTCATTAAAAAGTTTAACAATTTAATGAGTAGGTTTCCTATCCTTTTGGCAATATCATAAAATAGTTTTAGACATGAAAGAGCTATTATGATTTAGAAGGCCTTAAAATTTTCTAAATCAATATTGAACATCGATTAAACTTGTATTGGCTGTAAATGGAACAATATATTGCAAATCCTTGTAACCCATGGGCTCAATATAGGAAAGTTACTCTAAAGCCTCAACTTTAGTAGCCTGACGCTGACTTGGCTGCTTTAAAAAGTTCACTTTTCAAGAAAGAGAGATAAGGAGTGGCCAGTATGTGTATTTATCAGGAGAAATACAATAAAGGCCTCACTGCTCAGTCCAAGATATCTAAAATGAGCAAAATGCAAAGGCTGTAACTTCATACTGGATGTCAGATGACAGATTATCCACTAAAATATATTAACTAACGTCTTCGGTACTGCTGTAATGGGGCACTCAAAGCTTGTGTCTGCATATTGGTTAAGATTTTCTTTAAAGCAACATTAGTCCAAACACACAACAGTCAACATATTTAGCCATCTTCCTTTGGAGGGGTGTACCAGCCTGAAATAGAATGAAAAAAATAAAGTTAAAATACTGAATTCTTAAATAAATTAGAAGAACTGGCATGTAATAAGGCTAGCTACAGTCTCTCTTCATAATTTTGGTGTTTAAATCTACTATAAATTTTTTTTTCTTTTTCCTTTTCTTTTTTTTTGAGACAGAGTTTTGCTCTGTTACCTAGGCTGGAGTGCAATGGCGCAAACAGCTCACTGCAACCTCTACCTCCCAGATCAAGCAATTCTCCTGCCTCAGCCTCCCAAGTAGCTGGGATTACAGGCATGTGCCACTATGTCCCATTAATGTTTTTTTGTTTTGTTTTGTTTTGTTTTGTTTCGTATTTAGTAGAGACAGGGTTTCACCATGTTGGTCAGGCTGGTCTCCAACTCCTGACCTCAGGTGTTCCATCCACCTCTGCCTCCCAGAGTGCTGGGATTACAGGTGTGAGCCACCGCACCCGGCCTACTGTAAAAATTAAACTTATACTTGGATTGGTAACACTGCATTTTGCTATTTCACAACAGAAAGTTATTTTCTATGAATAAATTGTACTTGAGTTTTCAACACAAGAACTCTGTATTAATGGCATCTCTAGCTAAAGATGACTGT